ATAGAAATAATGTTTTTTTTTTTTTTTTTTTTGTTGGGGGGGTGGTGTGGTCTGGGCGGCGTGGTCTTTTAACACTGGTTTGTATGCACTTCAAAACAAGCACCTTAAGAGTTCTTAAATTGTTTCTTCAATTACCTTTCATAATCTACACCTGTAGCTCAAGTATAGAACATAAACATGTGTTTCAGGCATTCCGCCACAACATGTGGGGGAGACAACAACTACAACAGAATTGAAAGAAAAGGAAATTAACGGTTATTTCTAGTCAGGCTGTAGTACACAGACAATTGAATCATCCATACCAATCCTTTTCCCAGCTTTACTCCAGCCATAGCTAATCATCTCGTCCGCTCTTCTGTTTTCGTTCAAAATTTTCCACGGTGGACAATGCAAGCATCAAGAGAGTCTCCCCTCTGACGACACTGGCTTCTGCCCTGTCTGGTCCCCGTTAGCCGTCACTTTGGCCAACCCAGATTTAAACAATCTGTGTACTGCATTACAAATTTGCACTAAATGAAACCTGAGCCACTATTTGTGACCAGTTCATGTTACATGTTCCAGTGCATACACATAATATTCAAAGAAAAGTAAATGGAAGCAGCCTTGTTACAAGATTATATGATGAGGTACAAGGGGCCATTATGACGACATCTGGGATCAAAATGATTGAAGATCTCTGGATTCAGGATAGTAATGCAGCAAATAATATTTGTTATCCGGTTTCCAAATTAGTTGCTGACCCACCTCCTTTTCCGGGCTGGCCTCTCTGGCTTGATCTCTGAATCTGTAGGAGTTTCAGTTTTGGCTGAAGGCAGTGCTTCACTCTCCATCTTCTTTATTGCTAGTGGATCTTTCTCAATTGGCATTGGAAGCTTGAACCGCTCGCTTCTCTTCTTCAGCTTCTCAACTGTGTCAAGGTGCCGGTCCTCCAAAGGTTTTGTATCAGCATCCTTTATCTCCGGATCACAAACAACATTATCTACAGCCATTGGATGTTCATTATCAGAAGGCTCAACAGACTTCATGGCTTCATCAGGAATCTTGCTGGGTTCTGAAGATCCCACATTGTTATTCTTGTCAAGCTCCTTAAACTTCAGGGAAGCTGATGACTTACTGTTGATACTGAAATCCCTCTCCTTATGGCTAGTCCAACGCTCCAATTTTGAGCGCCCTCTCTTTGATTCCTGTTCATCATCTGAAGAAGCATTTTCCCTGTGTTTCCTGGAAGAGTCATGATGCACTGGGATCTCATTTTTGTCATTGGTGCTTTTTAAGCCCTAATCAAAGCAAAATCAACTAGATTAACAGAAGAGGTCTGCATAGCAAGTAAACTTCCAACCTAATCAGCAGGGTTAAGTAACAAACAAGCAAAATGGAATTCCCATCAACCGAGGCAGCAGAACTCTACATTGCTAGGAACAGGCATACAGATTGAATCTCAAATTTCTTATCAGTTCAGACATAAATTAACCTTGTAGTCAAGGTATGGCATCTTCTAATGAAGAAACAACAGAGTCACAGTTGTTGAATAGACATTTCACAAAACCCACGAATTTCCTTATGCTGGCCTAAGCACCTTAAGAGGTCCAAACCATTTTATCCACTGTTGGCAATGTTTTACACAGAACATGAATAAATAGCAAGGTAGCAATATCTATAAGCAGTCTACCATCAATATAATTGAAAGTCATCTCACCAAGAAACTTAAAAGTGCACGGCAAATAAGATAGAGGAAAAGTTTTTTTTAGGGGACCAATGGGAAAAGGTTGAAGTTAGATGAATCAAGCAAAGGCATAAATTGTATACAAAATTGGTGTGAAATGGTGCATGTCAATTAGAACATATTATGACAATACTACTTTATGAGCACTCTATGCAGTACTGCTTCGTTCACTTGTTAGGCAACAGTTTGAGGACACTGCTGCATCAATCACATCTTCCCCAACACAACCATACTCATACACTTTAGAAATGAAATTAATAAAAATTGTTACTTTCCAATAAGGCCTTATAATTATCTAAACTCAGGCCCCTATCTCATAATCAGTACATGATGCTTGAAAGTAAATAATATGCCTACGAAAACTAAATAGGAACAAGCACCAGTAATAAGCAGATTTGATAGTTTCCATAAAACTGAATCAACTTTCATTACGAATTATCTAACATTTTTGTGCATGCACATTCATATGTGTGTATGTATCTGTCCTAGAACATTTCCAGATATGACTACTGTGATATTTTTCTCCCAACCACTAAAGGAACTCATGCCATCAAGTTTTTGGTGCATACCATCTCGTTGATGTTAGTGTTACCACTAATGTCTTCTTGATTTCTCTTAGAAGAGTTCAAAGCATTTGGATCTCCACCTTCAGATTCTCTGTTCTTCCTCATGCCTTCCTTGTGTTTCTTCTCGTGCACCCTTTGGTTATCCGAAATATCAAGGGCACGATCACTCCGAGTACTTGATTTGTCCTGCCTGGCTTTTCTCTCATTATTACCTAATTGGTTACCACGTGCATAAACATCATCACGTCCTCTGTGGTGTGAGAAACTTCCATCCTCAACTCGTTCCCTTCTTTTCACTTGCTCACCATGCCGCACTGTTTCTTTAAGTGGGTATTCTTTATCAGAACCTTTATAATCATCCTTCATCCTAGCATGACCAACCCATGCCTTTTCTTCCGAACCACGCACACTTTTCACAGTACCCCGGCCTTCTTCTCTGTCCCGCCTTGATAAATTCTCTTCGTGGGATTGTTTTAGCCTAGGCCATTCTTCCCTCTCCCGCTGCCTGTCATTTCTCTCTCTCTGCAACCAGACCTCATCTTTATGTCTAACAGAGTGATGTTCCTCGAAGTTCTCTCTAATTCTTTGTTGCTCATCTCTCTTCCGCTGATCTAAAATCTCATCCCTTTCTCGTTTCCTACGACTGCTGGATTCTCTGTGGCTGTGCAACATTTCCTCTTTTTCAGCATGGTCCCTTCTAAGATACTCCTCATCCTTTCTTCTTCTACTGTGGTAGTCATC